GACCGCTCTGGGTGCTTCATGCTGAGAGGGTGGCGCAGTAAGGAGTGCAGTTAGGTCTCCCTCACTGGTTGGTTGAGAGGGCCTCAGAAGATGGGCACTTTTATTCTGGGTTCCATTTCTATTACTATTTGCAGTTTTATCACTTCTAGGCAAGATAGAACAAATCGTGTTATTAGGTTAAGTAGCAACATCTGGAGTTGAATTTTCCATTATGGAAGGACAAACTTGATGAGATTAAGAATGCATGGCTGAATATGAGGACTAGAAACAGTAAAACTTTAATTGAAATGATAAGAGGAAACTAAAATATCTGTAGAATCATATCTAAAGACCTTGGAGAAACTAGAATTCTGGATTTAGTCTATGTCCCAATGACTAGTATTAGGTTTTAGTATAGATAAGTCTGCATTATTGAAACAATACTCTAAAAATCACCCTCATTTTTATTAGAAGTAACCAGATTAAGAAAATAATTAACACTTAGCTTGATGATTTGCATAAGTGCAGCAAGAAGAGCAATTGATTACATAGGATCTTTTAAATGTACCTTGCTGGAACTTTTTATAGGAACTTTAGACTGGACTTTTAAAGTCCTCTTGAGGCCAGAAAGCCAAGCCAGACTTGCCATCAGGTTTTGCCTGCAGTACCTGTAGATTTGGGTGAATTACTCTCTTCTCGAGGTCCCCAAGGCATTCCGAGGTTCCTGCACCTGCCATAAAGTGACCTTCCTTTACTCACCTGGTAAGGCTGCTGGGAACCCTGTAAGCAATGTACCAGGTCAGTTCTTCCAAGTGGCTTTGTTGGCTCTATAAAGTCAATCTAAGTTCCTTAAAGCTGTCTTCTTTATATCTGAGGTTACGCACGTGTCTCTCAGGTATGACATTCCAGTGAAAGCCTTGGTAATATAACCAGTGTTTTTAATTGGTCCTGTTACAAGGAAGGCAGATTCTCATTGAGCTTATGCAAATAAACATACTGCCATAAAATATAAAAATATTCACTGACAGTTTTAAATTCTGGAGGGATCAGGTACAGAGAAAAATAAATAATTCAATTCTGCTTATAAAGGTGTCATTAACTAAACTGTTGTCATCTTAAGAGAAACAGTTTTAAAACACTTTATCAGCAACATTTGAAACAAGTCATAAAATTATTTTCCTTAGTCTCCTTAATCTTATGTAACTAATTCTTGCTTTGGTGGAATCTAGTTCTTTACTAGTTTAGGATACTTGCTCTGCTGGAATTTAGTTCTTAACGAGTTTAGGAGTAATAAAATAATGACTATAAATTATAAGACTTACAAATGACTGGTTAAAGATCTGATGAAAACTTACTGTAAGACAGTTGACATAAGGAAATTTGGATATTTCTGTAACATAAAACATTGAGTAACAAAGTTTAGCATCATTCCCTTTGACAGTACTTTCCAGATAATTAAGCAGGTAAATAAGCCAAATTAGCCAACTGTTTTCCCCATTGAGGAGAAAAAATTCCTCTGACATGTTTCAGTGGCCCTCTGGAAAACATCAGAGTTAACTAGAAGTAAAGACACCTTTTTGAATTTGATTTTGGGAAGCTGTCAAAAGAAAATTTTTAAGGCACTTGCCTAAATAGCCTAAATAGAATCATAGGTTACTATGAAACTATACTTACGTGTTTAACCAGAATGACAATAAATTTTAAAGGCAAATACAAAAGTTACACAGTTATTAGCAAAACTTAGTTTTTAGTCCTTTTAATATTAAGATCTTATTTTTTTAAGTACTCAGACCACTCATCTAAACTTTGATAAAACAATTAGAAAACACTTTGCAATCATTCAACATTGAGAGCAGACAAATAGTTCAAAAAAACTTTTTCCTTTTTACAAAAAAAAATTTAGTTTTGCTGTGCACTTGATACTAAGATTCATTTGCTTTAATTTCACATAGCATGACCATATTAAATTATTCCACAAACTTTCTACAACCTTCTTTTTACATTCAGAGTTCTCCCTCTTTAAATAAACAGCTATACTTTAGAACAAAGTTACCTTCTTTTATCAAAGACACATTCTTTAGCATGCAGAAATGTTTTCCTTATTATTTTAAGTAGCTTTAATTAGAACATAAAACCATCAGGAACTTTAATTTTCAGTGAACACTGAGAAGTAGGCTATTGTAAACTGTTACAATAGCATTCTTTAGATTGACAAATTTATGAACACATTTTATAATTTCTGGAACCATGTGCTTTACAGCACAATCTTTAAGCACAAAATATGTCTACTCAACTTAGCAAAACTTTAAGGTTTTAGATTACCACAAAGATTCTCAGGCTGTTTGTAGGTATACACACCGTAACACACTATTATTAAGATGTTCACTTGCTACACTTACATAGTTTACTCATTCCTTAACAACCATGCTAAATTACTCAGAAAATCTTCACTAAACATTAGACAAAGTCAACCTCTTTTAAAGCACTTTTTCTTGAAAGATTTAACAGATAACATCAACTTAAGTGGCTTTCGGTAAACTTAAGCAGAGGATAACCATAAGGACATGTCAATTTCAGCTCCTTAAATTAGCATTAATGCTTAATATTTTCTATTAGAATTTTCTGAAAGTTTTAGAATGCCCAATTTTATATTGTAATAGTCCACAGGACTTTTGACTATTTTCCTTGTGGCGAAATAAATTTAACTGCATAACCTTATTATATTGCACACTTCTCTCAGGGGCCAAGCCTCTCTAATCAGAGAGTTTGTATTGAGGCCAGGCTTGTGTGCAGAAGATAAGACACTTCCTTGAGAGCCCCCTGCCTGTCGGATAAGTGGAGGGGACTGTGTGATCTCTGTCTACCAGAGCCTTGGTCAGAGTCACAAGCCTGTTTCCCTTCTCTGGGGGCTGCAGAAAAGGAAATGCCTAGCCCCAGGATGACTGCCTCTAAGGAAGGGAGGTTAGAATAGAGCCATTTACATGTTGGGCTCAAGGTTTCAGCTTGATTACTTCACAGACTTCATTTACATTACACAGGAGAAAATAGTGCAGGCCAAAGAGAATTGCTTTGAATGAGGAACAGGGGAACTTTTTCCAAAGCCTGAGATAAAATTCAGAGGCTCCCATGGACATTTGGGTGTGTCTGTACTCTTAAACACCAGTTTTTGCCTCTGCATGGTAATTATCCTGCTAGTCACCCACTGTAAGAAATCTGATCTGTAAGACAAGACACCAGGTGTCATCTGCGAGTCTTGCATAGACAGCAGCCTAGCCGGAGGTTCACTCAGCGCCATTGGATCAATCAGCTGGAGCCAAGATCCAGGACCACCGTCTACTAGTCCCGGCTGCCCTCAGAGTCCGCAGATTAGGATAGGAAAGTAGGAAATTGGCTCAACCACTCCGTGACATTCCTGTCCGTACAGAGGCAGGGGATCAAGGAGCGGCAGACACCAGGAAACCCTTCACCCGAGAATTAAGACTAGTAGCCGATGCTAATCATCTTTTAAGTGGCTAATGGGTGCCCAGACACATTTTTATGAGATAAAAAGTACAGCATTTAGTCAGGAATAAGAGCAAAGCGTGGATCTCCTACCTTGCGATGGTGAGCATCCGGTTCCGTGAGATTCATGAAGTTAGGAGAGAGTTAGGGATTCCCCCTGCCTCACTGAGGCCAGGGCAGCCTGAAGAGGCAGGCTGGAAGTCAGAAAGAGAGAGAGACACTCCTCACAGATACCCAGTCGGGCTGTCGGGGTCTGATTCCAGACACGTGGACCTTTGAGATGCCTCAGCCTAGAATCTGGCAGTTGCCCACAGCCTTCCTCAGTCCCTCACATCCAAGGAGAGCCTCTGAAAGGGAATCCTGGCCTCCAGTCAGCTGACTTTCCCAGCTCCCAAGGGAGACGGGGGATCCACTGAGGGAGACACAGAGGAGCCTGTCACTCGAGACTTAGAGAATGGCATCCGGGTTAGTCCCATTTAAGTGGCAGATTAACATCCGATTTTGAGTGCCGTAGATGGCTGCCTTCTATAAGGACAGTGAAAGAAAAGGCAGGCTCTGATGCTGATACCTCTGAAGTTATCCCAGACGAGCCCCAAAAAATGATGCCAGGGTTCTTGTTTGCAGAGTTGAAGAATTTATTTAGCAAACACCCAAGGTAGGAGAGCTAGGGAGAGGCTGAGAGGCTTTTATTGAGAGATACAGTGAGAGGACAGAGCTCCTGGCTCATGCCAGGAGGGGACAAGAGAGCCCTGCCATTTGACTGTTTTTTAAGTGTGGATAACCAGAGGTACCTAACTTTGTTTTGGGGGTCCAGTTCTGCCAGTGTGACCCCACATACTAGTACGTTTATAAATCATTTATAAATCCTCATTTTCTGCTATAACCACTGTATCTACATTGGTGAAAATAGAAAGTATATAGTAATTACGACTTGATTTTGTTTGTATTTTAGGAGGTAGACCTTACTAATCCCAAAACATTTAGAAACCTGGCTAAGCCAATGGGAGCACAGACGGATGAACGATTAGCTCAGTATAAGAAACGGTATAAAGATTGGGAAGACCCTAATGGTAAGTAACTTTTCTTGTCATTGGACTTGGTACCTGAGTTTCAAAAGTAAGCCATTATCTGGTGGTCTGATATCCTTGCAGTTTTCTCCAAATTGCTTATATATTATTACATCTATTATATTATGTATGCACATATATGTACAACTATCAGAGTAGAAGAATCAGATTTTGCATGCCAACTGGTAGCCATGGTTGGAAGGGATTTTTAGGTAGCTTGTCAGGTATTGGCAGAAAACTAGGTATGTTTGTATAGGGTAGAAATTTCCCATTATAACCTGCCTTTATCTCTAATTGTGCTTAAGCCAGGAACTATCCTTTACTGACTCTTTTAATTATATGAGGCAGTTTTTGGAACTCTTCTGTATTAAAAATAATAATAATAAACTACCTTCTTAAAACACTGTAAGTTTACCTATGATTTATTATGTTTAATGTTTACATGTGTCCCCTCTCAAATAGGCAAAATAAGAAAGGGGTAAAAACGAAACCTAAGCCTAACAATAGTCCCTGTGTGGAATCTTTTTTTATTTTTTTCTCTTCCAAGGAGAATGTGAAACAAAAATTGCATAATATTCATAGACAGAGAAATACAGTCAATCTTTGAAAAACATGGGGATAGGGAGTGCTGACTCCCCATACTGTTGAAAATCTACGTATAACTTTTGATTCCCCTAGAACTTAACTACTGATAGTCTGCTATTGGCTGGAAGCCTTACTAATAACATAAACAGTCAATTAGCACATATTTTATATGTTACATATATAGTATTTTGTATTCTTAAAATAAGGTTGAGAAAAAAATTTTTGTCAAATTTTCACAAATCTCAAATGTATTTATTTTGTAAAAACAATCACATTTAAATGGATCCACACAGTTCAAACCCATATTGTTTAGAGTCAGCTGTACCCTTAAATGCCATTGCAAAGCCAGAACCTACTAAAAGTAGCTATAAGTCAATATCCTGCTTTAGTGGAAGATGATTGGCTTTAAGAGTTCATTACTACAATAAGCCTCAGAACATGAATTGCTAGATGTGCCAAGTTTTGGGGGAAAGGCATTAAATTATCGATACTTTGGATGACTGCCCAGTATATAAGTGAAGGTTAGAGTGTCATCATAAAGCTTTCATGCTACAAATGCCAGTGCAAACTGCAGTTAGTAATGTAGTTAATATATACATTTGCATTTCCAAGCCTATTAATACCAATTTTGTTTTTCATATACACTGTTTGGTTTTCAATTATGCTTTAATTTTCTTGAATAGGAGAAACACCAGCTTACCACTATGGGACCCACTATTCATCTGCAATGATTGTGGCTTCATACCTAGTAAGGATGGAACCTTTCACACAGATATTCTTAAGGCTACAGGTAAAACTCTAAATTTAGATTTTTTCCACTTAAACTTTCTATTTAAAATGGTTTCTTTTTTTATAATGTTAGCTTGCTTTACAAGAAGCCCTGTGAAGTTTTAATCACAAAATTAGTACAACATAATTAAAGTGAAATTTTGCTGAGCCAAATTGATGAACAAACTAGACTCTGTGTACAGTAAACATGTGCAGGGTCCTTTTGTCAGATAAGCTAGCAGTGTATGGTTTCCAGCCAGGTATATGGAACTCAGCCTCAACTGGCTGAATTTAGCAAACATTAAAACAAGAGTAATGTAGTCTGGCTCATTTGCTCTCTTCTTTACTGTAACTTTTTCTCCATATTCTCTTCCTTCAGCAAATATTTATTGAATGCATACTATGTATCAGGCACTACTTATTCTAGGTGCTTGGAGCATGTCAGTGAATAAACACAAAAGCCCTGCCTTAAGGAGCTTATCTTGTTTTTGTTGAGCAAGACAAACACAATAAATGAGTACATTATAATTGTTGAAGAATATCAGAAAAATAGAGAATCAAAGAAGGGGATGGGAAGTTTGGGGACTGGGAGGTTGGAGAAGGCACAGTGCAGTGTTATGTAGAGTGGTCAAAGTAGGTCTCCTTGAACAGATAACATCTGCACAATAACTTGAAGGAGGCGAGGGAGTTACTCATGCAGATACCCGCAGAAAGTGTTTTCTAGGCAGAGGGTACAGTGCCTGCGAGAGCCCTAAGTTAGGCGTGTGCTTGAGATGTTTAAGGAACAATAAGGAGGCCAATGTGTTTGGAACAGAGTAAGTATGGGGAAGGTCATAGAAGATGAGGTCAGAGATAATGGGCCAAATTGTAGGTCTTGGAGTCCATCATATGGACTTCAGTGTTTCCCCACAGTGAACTTCATCATAATGGCAAATACACTATGTTCTCTTAAAACACAGCATACGGAATTTGAGGAAGGAGGTGGTATATCTGTCAGCTGGATAATCAAAAGAAACCCCTTTTCTATTTGAATTTGTTTTATTAATCTATAACTTTTGATCACCTTATAGTTCGCCACTTAATTCTTACTGGTGTGAAAACTTAAATGTCATATTAATTTATAAAATTGGACAAACACATATATAACTTGAATATTTCCAACTGTGGAGGGTTAATTAGAATCTTTTATTTATTTTTTTAAGAGAGTGTCATCAAAGTATAGAAAAATTTATATGTCCTTATAGTATTGTCCTCTCTCCAAAAACTAGTATTTCTTTAAATGACTTTTTAAAGTCCTTATATTGGGATTTCACTTTGATTACAAAACAAACATATTGAGCATCCTTTGTAAGGAGTACTCCAAAGAGAATTAGTTTTCTTTTTGAGATTATTGAACATTTTATGTATTTGACATAGGATTATGGGAAATTGAATTATCACCAAACATTTATTTGGGGTTTTCAAGCTGTTAAGCTTGACAGAAGGTGGAAATGGTTCTCTAACAGAGAGGTGCCTTCTCACTCTGTCCGCAGGGAGGCCACTTTGACCTGGCTGACCGGATGTTTCACAGTGTGCGTGAGGCCTGGTATTCAGCATCAAAGCACAACATGGCAGACGTAAAAGAACTTATCCCAGAATTTTTTTATTTGCCAGAATTCCTGTTCAATTCCAACAACTTTGATCTAGGTATGTAAAGCTATGGCACTGTCTCAGGAACATTAACCAGTGAAGGTCCAATAGTAAGCCACTTTTCTGAAAATTATCTATTGTACACATTTCCTGGTGGTTTCAGCTGTTGTTATTTACTGTGATTGGGTGTGTGGAGTAAATATACAAAGAAAAGTAGATTGATGCTCCAAATTTATGTTTCAAATCTAGAGTCTTGGAAAATTTTTAAATTGACACAGATGACACCTAATGGTCAGCATATTTTTATTTCAGTGAAAACAAAGATGAGATAAAAATTCAATTGAACATTATTACAACTGAAATTAATAACCAACAGTGGTATATCCAAATTTTTTTCGAATATTGTTTTACTCTTCTATATTGCCTGAGGCATTCTTAGCTTCCATGCTAATACGTTTTAAAATTAGAATATCAGAATAACAACATAAATGCCTTTTCTTTATCCTTTTAGGGTACTATTTTCTTGAAAAACAGAACAAAATCAACATTTACTAAAAGGAGAGAAATTTCATCAGTACTCTGTTCTTTTATATTATCCAGCAATTACAAGAAGTAGATTTGAATTCCACTACAGTTTCTTAAAACACAATTTGCTGATTTATGTTTCTGAATATTTATTTTAAAGCATATTAAAATCCCATTGTTTCTAATTTAGAAACAGATCAGATTTTTCATGCCTTGTATCATGCCATATTTGAGTTCAACCTATATAAATCATTACCATCCTACCTCAAAAAGTTTTGCTAATAGAGAATTCAAATACTCATATCCAATACATTTGAGAAATTTGTCTTTTTTAAATGGTTTTTTTTAAAAATAATTTTCATGTATTTAATTATCAGAAGCTCTAACTTTGTGAAATTATAGCTGCAGGTCCAATGGGAAAGATAATAGGGCCTCTCAATAACCCTAGCAGAAGTACTGAGAGTGCTCTTACCTCTGATTGGGCATGGAGTTCAGCCCTGAACAGCTAGATACAAAGTTCTAGGACTTACAGTTGGAAAGAGTCGTGGTTCCTTGATGAAATAGAATAGAAACCAACAAATGTGTATGCAACATTTGAATATGAATTCACCTAAGTGTTTTATTATGTTCATTTAAAATTCAAATTCAGAGAATGCTACCCTTTTCCCTAGGGACACCACTTTCAAAGAGACAAACATGGAGAAGTGCAGAAAAAAAGGAGAGCCCAGTTCTCCAGAAACACTTGATCAATTATAATAATCTGTGTTGCAAAACTGTCTTAGATCAGACCACTTCCAAACCAAACCAAATGATCCACTTTAAATAAAGAACGGTCATGTATCTTTTTCATGCTCACCTTCACAACGAATCATCTTCTCTCCATGAAATCACATGTTAAAAAACACTATTTACATACAAGAGCTAAAGCTACAAGCCTTCAAAGAAAACATAGGGTTAAATTTTCATGATCTTGTATTTGGCAACAGATTCTTAGATAGGCTATCAAACGCACAAGCAGCAACAACAAAAACAGTTGAGTTGGACCTGATCAGAATTTAAAACTCTAAATGCAAAGACATTATAAAAAAATTATGAAGGAAACCTACAGAATGGGAGAAAATATTTGCAGATAATGCATCTTTTAAGGACCTAACATCCAGAATATAAAGAATTCTTAAAACTCAACAAAGAACAGATAAAAACCCAATTAAAAACTGGGCAAAGGACCTGAAGAGATGTTTCTCCAAAGAAGTTAAGCAGGAGGCTAGTAAGGACATGAAGAGATGTTGAAAATCATAAGTCATTAGGGAAATGCAAATAAAAAATACAATGAAGCCAGAATAGATCACATACTAAGCCACAAAAAGAGCCTCAGTAAATTCAAAAGGATTGAAATTGTACCAACGAGCTTCTCAGACCACAAAAGTATGAAACTAGAAGTAAATTATGCAAAGAAAAGAAAAAAGCCCACAAACACATGGAAGCTTAACAACATGCTCCTAAATAATCAATGGATTAATGACCAAATAAAAACAAACCAGGCAATATATGAAGAAAAATGGAAACAATAACTTAACACCCCAAAACCTGTGGGACGCAGCAAAGGCTGTTCTAAGAAGAAACTATATTGCAATACAGGCCTACCTCAGGAAAGAACGATCCAATATGAACAGTCTAAACTCACAATTAATGAAACTAGAAAAAGAAGAACAAATGAAGCCCAGAGTCAGTAGAAAGAGGGGCATAATTAATATCAAAGCAAAAATAAATAAAATTGAGAAGAATAAAGCAATAGAAAGAATCAATGAAACTAGAAGCTGGTATTTCGAGAAAATTAAAAAAAAAGATAAACCCCTAGCCAGACTTACCAAGGAAAAAAGAGACTGTACATACATAAACAGAATCAGAAATGAGAAAGGAAGGATCACTATGGACACCACAGAAATATAAAGAATTATAGAGAATACTATGAAAAACTATATGCTAACAAATTGGAAAACCTAGAAGAAATGAAACCTTTCTAGAAAAATATAGCCTTTCAAGGCTGACCCCTGAAGAAACAGAAAATTTGAACAGACCAATTACCAACAATGAAATTCAGTTGGAAATCAAAAAACTACCTAAGAACAAAACCCCTGGACCAGATGGCTTCATCGCTGAATTTTCTCAAACATTTAGTGAAGACCTAATACCCATCCTCCTTAAAGTTTTCCAAAAAGTAGAAGATGAGGGATTACTTCCAAACTCATTCTATGATGCCAGCATCACTCTAATACCAGGCAAAGACACCACAAAAAAAGAAAATTACAGACCAATATCACTGATGAACGTAGGTGCAAAAATACTCAACGAAATATTAGTGAACCAAATTCAAAAATGAAGAAGAAAGATCATACATTATGATCAAATAGGATTTATTCAGTGGATGGCAAGGATGGTACAATATTTGAAAATCCATCAACATCATCCACCACATCAACAAAAAGGACAAAAATCTCACGATCATCTCCATAGATGCAGAAAAAGCCTTTGACAAAATTCAACATCCATTCATGATAAAAACTCTCAAGAAAATGGGTACAGAGGGCAAGTACCTCAACATAATAAAGACCATATATGACAAACACACAGCCAACATTATGCTTAACAGCAAGAAGCTGAAAGCTTTTCCTCTAAGATCAGGAATAAGACAAGGATGCCCACTCTCCCCACTTCTATTCAGCATAGTATTGGAGGTCCTCGCCACAGCAATCAGACGACACAAAGAAATAAAAGGCGTCCAGATTGGTAAGGAAGAAGTTAAACTGTCACTGTTTGCAGATGACATGATATTGTACATAAAATACCTTAAAGAATCCACCCCAAAACTACTAGAACTAATAACTGAATTCAACAAAGTTGCAGGATACCAAATCAATACACAGAAACCTGTTACATTCCTATATACTAATGATGAACTAACACAAAGAGAAATCAGGCAAAAATTCCATTCACAATTGCATCAAAAAGAATAAAATACCTAGGGATAAATCTAACCAAGGAGGTAAAAGACCTGTACTGAAAACTACAAGATACTCATGAGAGAAATTAAAGAAGAAACCAATAAATGGAAATACATCCCATGCTCACGGATAGGAAGAATTAATAATGTCAAAATCGCCATCCTGCCTAAAGCAATCTAAAGATTCAATGCAGTTCCTATCAAAATACCAACAGCATTCTTCAACAAACTAGAACAAATCATTCTATAATTCATATGGAACCACAAAAGACCCCGAATAGCCAAAGCAATCCTGAGAAGGAAGAACAAAGCTGGGGGGATTACACTCCCCAACTTCAAGCTCTACTACAAAGCCATAGCAATCAAAATACTTTGGTACTGGCACAAGAACAGAGCCACAGACCACTGGAACAGAATAGAGAGTCCAGATATTAACCCAAACATATATGGTCAATTAATATATGATAAAGGAGCCATAGAACATGCAGTAAGGAAATGACAGCCTCTACAATAGCTGGGGTTGGGAAAAATGGGCAGCTACATGTAAGACAATGAAACTGGATCATTGTCTAACCCCATACACAAAAGTAATTTCAAAATGGATCAAAGACCTGAATGTAAGCCATGAAACCATAAAACTTAGAATAAAACATAGGCAAAAATCTCTTGGACATAAACATGAGCAACTTCTTCATGAACATATCTCCCTTGGCAAGGGAAACAAAACCAAAAAGGAACAAGTGAGACTACATCAAACTGAAAAGCTTCTGTACAGCAAAGGACACCACCAACAGAGCAAAAAGACATCCTACAGTATGGGAGAATATATTCATAAATGACAGATCCAATAAAGGGTCGACACCCAAAATATATAAAGAGCTCATGCACCTCAACAAACAAAAAGCAAATAATCCAATTAAAAAATGGGCAGAGGAGCTGAACAGACACTTCTCCAAAGAAGAAATTCGGATGGCCAACAGGGACATGAAAATATGCTCCACATCGCTAATCATCAGAGAAATGCAAATTAAAACCACAGTGAGATATCACCTCACACCAGTAAGGATCACCACCATCCAAAAGACAAACAACAACAAATGTTGGCGAGGTTGTGGAGAAAGGGGAACCCTCTTACACTGCTGGTGGGAATGTAAATTAGTTCAACCATTGTGGAAAGCAATATAGAGGTTCCTCAAAAAGGTCAAAGAAGAAATACCATTTGACCCAGGAATTCCACTTCTTGGAATTTACCCTAAGAATGCAGCAGCCAAATTTGAAAAAGAGATACGCAGCCCTATGTTTATTGCAGTACTATTTACAGTAGCCAAGAAATGTAAGTAACCTAACTGTCCATCAGTAGATGAGTGGATAAAGAAGATGTGATCCATATACACAATGGAATATTATTCAGCCATTAGAAAAAACAAGTCCTACCATTTGCAACATGGATGGAGCAAGAGGGTATTATGCTCAGTGAAATAAGCCAGGCGGAGAAAGACAAGTACCAAATGATTTCACTCATATGTGGAGTATAAGAACAAGGAAAAAACTGAAGGAACAAAACAGCAGCAGAAACACAGAACCCAAGAATGGACTAACAGTTACTAAAGGGAAAGGGACTGGGGAGAATGGGTGGGAAGGGAGAGATAAGAGGGGGGAAAAAGAAAGGGCGCATTACAATTAGCATGTGTAATGTTTTGGGGGGGCATGGGGAGGGCTGTGCAACATAGAGAAGACAAGTAGTGATTCTGCAGCATCTTACTACGCTGATGGACAGTGACTGTAATGTAGTTTGTGGGGGGGCTTGATGATGGGGGAGTCTAGTAAACATAATGTTCCTCATATAATTGTAGATTAATGATACCAAAACAAAAAAAAATGTCAGAGAAACTGAACAGACTGTTCTCCAAAGAAGAAATTCAGATGACCAACAGACACATGAAAAGATGCTCCACATCACTAGTCATCAGAGAAATGCAAATTAAAACCACAATGAGATATCACCTCACACCAGTAAGGATCGCCACCATCCAAAAGACAAACAACAACAAATGTTGGCGAGGATGTGGAGAAAGGGGAACCCTCCTACACTGGTGGGGAATATATTCTCCCATACTGCTGGTGGGAATGTAACTTAGTTGAATCATTGTGGAGAGCAGTATGGAGATTCCTCAACAAACTAGAAATAGAAATATCATTTGACCCAGGAATTCCACTCCTAGGAATTTACCCTGAGAATGCAGCAGCCCAATTTGAAAAAGACAGATGCACCCCTATGTTTATCGCAGCACTATTTACAATAGCCAAGAACTGGAAGCAACCTAAGTGTCCATCAGTAGATGAATGGATAAAGAAAATGTGATACATATACACAATGGAATATTATTCAGCCATAAGAAGAAAACAAATCCTACAATTTGCAACAACATGGATGGAGCTAGAGGGTATTATGCTCAGTGAAATAAGCCAGGCAGAGAAAGACAAGTA